TCTATCATTAACAAATAATAAAAAGGGTGGAAAATTGAATATGTATTTTTCCTTTTCTCTTCGTTCTTAAGCCCTCATATGCACAACTAATGCGTGAAATCGACAAAAGAAAAGTCAAATAAATCATTGATATAATGTATAAATAGGAAGAGAAAGAAAGGAGGTTATCGAGGGATACAATCGTTTGAACAAGTTAGTATCAGTCCAGTAGACAAGCTCTTTGGCGTGACTGGAGATGGTTGACAGAAGGAAGCCCGATTTGAGATGCTATGAGGGCAATGGAACCACATGGTGGCCGGAAGAGGACCTACGATGAAGGTGGTCACTAGTGTTGGAGGCCACGTAGGGAAGATCTCCCAATCGATGGAGGTGATCGGAATCTGAACCAGGTGGCGATCTTGGTATTTTTAGTGGTGCTTGGTTTTTGATGTTTCTCAGAATTAAAAGTGGAGGACCGATGAAGAAGATGGAGCCATGGAGGGGTGCAAGAAGATGATGACAACCGATTTGTTTTGGTTGTGACTTTAAGCCCTAATCTGATTAGAGCTATTGAGACAGATTCATGGGATGTAACAAATTTCATTGGAACCTAAAAATTTAATATTCTCATAATACCCTTATTCCTATTTAAAAGTTACCATTTCCTCACATAATTTCTAGAATTTACAGAAATGGCACATTTATAATAGCCTTTGATCTTGATATTTGAAGGGTCTAGATATATTCTCATGTTCTCAACCTTTTGGGTGTTCTCGATTTAACTTACATCTCTCTCTCTCTCTCTCTCTCTCTCTCTCTCTCTCTATATATATCTATATATATATATATATATATATATATATAGATATATATATATATATATAGAGAGAGAGAGAGAGAGAGAGTGTGTGTGTGTGTGTGTGTGAAAGAGAGAGTGTGTGTGAGGTTCAAATGAGAACAATTATGTAGTTGAGAACGAGAGAACAAATATGAGTCATTTAATTTTTTAACTAAAATAAAAAAATATTAATTATATGAATCAAAAAACAATTAAAAACAGTTAAAAATCCGCACCACCCACCACCCACCATCCACCCACCACCTACCACCCGCAAACACCACCAATTATCTCCACCACATACCACACACCACCGACCATCCAAAATTTGTTTACGCATTTTCGATTCAATATTATTTAATCGCGTTTTATTTTATATATTTAATCACATATAATTATGTGGACTAAGTTAGTTTTTGCGTTCTTAATTTAATAATTTTTATCATATATTTAATCACATATGATTTATATAAACAAGATTCTTCATCTTGTTCTCGATTCAATAGTTTTTCTCATATGTTTAATCGAATGTGATATATATATTATATAATATATATATATATATATATATATATATATATATATATATATATATATATATATATTATATATATATATATATATAATCACATATGATTTATGTGGACAATATTCGTTTTTGCGTTTTCGATTAAATAATTGTTCTATTGTATTTAATCACATATAATTTATTTGAACAATATTTGTTTCCGCGTTCTCGATCCAATAGTTGTTCTCGTGTATTTAAACATATATGATTATATTTATTTAATTACATATGATTTATATGGACAAGATTCATTTTCGTGTTCTCGATTCAATAGTTGTTATAATGTATTTAGTCACATATGATATATGTATTTAATCATAATTTATGCGGAAAAGATTTATTTCCGCGATTTCAAGTTAATATTTGTTCTCGTGTATTTAATCACATGTGATTATATGTATTTAATCACATGTGATTAAACCCTTCTATCATGTTCTTCACCTGGAAAACCACCCTAAAACACAATAGGTAAAACATTTACAAGCATTTAATCAAATAGATGGAGTGCAATAAATAACACAAAGATCTCTAAATATTTCTTAGAAGTATTCAGAAAAAAAAAAACCAAAGTATATCTCTATAGGAAACCTTTCAAAGCATTTAATTGAACAAATAGGGAAGGGAACTCAGATCTGGTGACTTTTTTTATTAAGACCTGGTGGTTTAGAGTAGCGGTTTTGGTGGCTTTTTTCTTCAGATATGGTGACTTTTTTCTTCAAATGTCTTTTTGCTTCAGATCTAGCGAGAGAGGCGTTTTAGGAAGAGAAGAGGCAGGGGAAGGTCATTTAGGAAGATAATAGGTTAAGAGAGGTGGTTTCGGACGAGGGGAAGGGTAGAGACGAACAGATCTGAAAAGAGCAAAATGGTCATGATTTGATCATTCGGCGGTGGTGAGGTGGTTCCAAGGATAGTCTAATGATCAATATGGTAAGTTTCTTATATGATGATAAGATGAGAGAAGTGGTAGAGAGAAAATTAAAGAGAAATAAAAGATATTTGTAAGATAGGTGGGTGGGTAGAGGATAAGCGGAGTGAAGTTTTTTAACTGCTTTTTTATTTATATAAATATTATTGTATGATTTTATTTAAAAGATTAAGTGACCTGGATTTGTTCTCACGTTCTCAAATTCGATAATTATTCTCATTTGATATATATATATATATATATATATCTATATATATATATATATATTATATTATATATATATATTGTAAAAACTAAGAAATCAAATAGGAATTTTGTCGTCCAAATTCTATGTATTGTCTGGAAAAAAAAAAGTCAAAATTCACTTCAACAAAATCTAACTAAAAAAATAAATACATTCACCATCGTTTAATATAACATAATGTGGTTGTCCTTCCACTTCCATGCAATCAATGGTTTAATAAACAAACTCAATATAATTTCCAATTTTTTTTTCAGACCATACAAATGGAACCTTTTGATCCACCCTTTCAAGAATTTTACAAGAAACTATTCGATGATCATTTCTTCAATGGACCATGCCCTGGAGGCCATGAAATAGAATTTTCCCACAATGCCAAAGAGTGCAAGTTTGAGCTGCCATTAATCGATCTAAGCCACTTGAACATAGGTGGCTTCAAGCACGAGGACTGCAAACGAGAAATTGCTAAAGCTGCGCAAGAATGGGGTTTTTTCCAAGTAGTTAATCACGGAGTTTCGCATGACATTCTAGAAAAGTTGATGAGTGAACAGGTGAAAGTATTCAAGAAACCGTTTCAGGTGAAGGTTAATGGCCTCCCTGAGCTAAATTTTCCTGCAGGAAGTTACCAATGGGGGACACCCTCAGCAAATTGTCTCCAACAGTTGGCTTGGTCGGAATCATTTCATGTTCCATTGATTGAGCTCTCAACAGTAGGTGCATGTGCTGCCACTGACTTTAGGTAAAATTCACCGATTTATTTAGTTCAAAAGTATTGATTTGTTTTCATGCTTCTCAAATTTTGAACTCTTATCATAACTCTTATAACATTTTTAACAATTGTTCCTAAGGTCCCTTATATGTCCCCAAACCATAAAAGCATAATTGAAAAGTACTTGTTTCACATTCTTAACCAATTAAGAAAATATAATTATCAATTTTGTCATTTCCTTCTGAATCACCTCAAGATTCAAAAGTATATAACTTCCAAATATAAGTACATCATAGTAACTTTTTTATGACACTTACTTAAACTAAAATATGATAAGTAATAGTATAAGCATACCGTCAACATTAGCAAAATTATAGCCTTCGTTCTTTTCAATTAAGCTTGAACCTCATGTTAGGAATATTTTCATGAAGTGTCCCAAGATGATTCACAATGAAAACATATATATCCAAAGTGACTAGTTTTGTGACTATCACAACTAGTCACTTTGGATATATGGGTGTTACACGGTCACAATGTGAACGGTCTATATATCAAATTTTTACAAAAAACGTGAATTAGTTAGTTGGTCATTTAACGTGAATGATCAAGTCATTCTAATGTGAAAGACTAGGACACCAATCTTTACATAAGCTAGGTGGTTATCGAAGTATGAATGACCAATGTAGTAATTAATTAATCCTTCCAATAAAATAACCAAACAATCATAATATAAAACTTTGCATGCATATAAAAAATATTGATATTGATCTTTATTTATAGAAGATAACGAATTACACAAATTTAAAGAACAAAAGTGTGTGTGTGTATATATATATATATATATATATTATATAAAAGGTTGAATTATTGTGAGAACTATAAAAAGCGTGAGAACTTGCAAACTACGCATCAACAGTTGAAAACTACGCGTTAACAGTCATATAAACAGCGGACGCATATGAATCAACAGTCATATGAACTACGAACGCATGCATCAGTAGTCATATGGACTACAGATGCATATATGCATGCATGCATCAACAGTCATATTGATTGTTGATATATATATATATATATATGTTACAGATTTTTTTTTTTTTTTTTTATTTATTTATTTTTTTTTTTTTTAATTTAGCAAGATAGTGAAACAATATGCAATGATAATTTCCAAGCTAGCAAATGAACTAGCAGAGATTTTGGCCGAAATGCTAGGCCAAAAGTCCGACTTCTTCAAAGAAAATTGCGTGCCTAGCATGTGTTATATTCGCATGAGCCGATATCCAGCGTGCCCTTTTTCTCCAGAAGTGTTTGGATTGATGCCTCACACAGATAGTGATTTCCTCACGATATTACACCAAGATCATATTGGAGGCTTACAAGTACTTAAAGATGGAAAATGGATTAGTGTGAATCCTAAACAAAAGACCCTAATCGTTATTGTTGGGGATCTTTTTGAGGTACGGAATAATATTATCATTTTACATCTTTTCTTATAGTGTTCAATTAATTTTCAAATTCACTGCTAAGCCACTATATATGGTGGTGGTTACTATATTAAAAATGGTTCAGATCTCACATGTTTCAACGTTAAGGTGATCATTAAGCTGGTAATCTGCCACTAATCAAAAATTAAATAAATAATCTTAGTTAGTAGCCTGCTAAAGCTATATATGTTCATGGTTCTTCAAAAATGATCCTTTTATATTTGATATTATCGACATTTTTATGAAAAAAATAAAGTATAGGTTTGACGATTAAACTTTTGAAATACCTCACTTGAGTCCCACTATCACTTTAAGGGTATTTGTGCAGTGGATTATATATTGATCGAACATTCGGGTGGTGGATATTCATCATTCACATTTTTTGCATTCCTTCAATCTTTGATGCCCTGTCAATTTTTTTATTTTTTTCCAATACATCTCTCTCACCCCTAAACACATAGAAATTATAAATTTTCTCATCCCTAAACCATTTTTAATAAAATTAAAAAAAAACATAAAACTATTGTTAATTTAAAAATATTCAATAAAAAATTACATGACTAATTAAAAAGTAAGAAAAATACAATACAATATAAAAAAATACATAAAAACATTTCATTCCAACCATGTTTTCTTTGATATTTCATTCTTGCATGGTTGGACCTTAGTGAAAGTCGAAACAAACAAATAATCATGTTGGCTTGGGTTTCATCGATATCTTCGTCGGATTCTTGGGTTGGGGGTTGAGGGTAGGATATGTGAGGGCTGTGGATTTGGAAGGGATTCAAGAATGGTTGATCTTGCTGGAGTGGAAAATTGTTGTATAAATGTTGTATCAGAAGTTGTGAAAATCATGAAAATTAAGTTTCGGGAATTGAGTGACGGAGTTGGTTACTCATATGAACCTGTAGTGCGACTTTTATTTCATCCTTTATCCCCAGGCTTGAATTCTTTATGATTGTGAAAATTGATGTAATAAAATGAAAGTTGTGAAAATTGGGCTAGTAAAGTGAAAGGATACATGATATTTGTACGGGGTTTTAAAAAAATTGTAAAAAAAGAAACTAGTCGCTGAGAGAGGGGTTCTAGCCATTAAGTAACAATCAAACGGAGGAGTGACGAAAATCATTGGCTCACTTCAGTATCGTGACACCCGATGTTGGCGTTTCAACCCTTTCGAAGAGAATTTCTTGAGCCAAAAATTGTCGATATCATCCACCCTTATTAGATGAACAATATTATTCCCATCACATCAAATGCATTTTTTAGTTTTTACAAAGTATGGTTTTATTAGCACAAATAGTTAGTTTCAAGAAGATTTAGTAACCTAACCCAAAATATTAGAACCATTACTGTCTCCATTGACATTTTATTATAATATAACGCCATTACTTTGTGCATTACCGAAATCACATTTCACGCTTATCTACACCTTTTAAAAGAAAGATATGTTCATGGTTTCATTTTAACGTTCGACCAAAAGAAATCTGAACATTTCTTTTGGAAATGCATGTAAACTACATTTGAGGACACTCATTAAACATTTGCTACCTGTCATTTTGATGATTTGAAGTATATAATCTTTGATGATATTTGTATTCTGTAGGCATGGAGTAATGGTGTTTTCAAGAGTGTGGAGCACAGAGTGATAGCCAACAAGCAATTTGAAAGGTTTTCAACAGCATATTTTTTATGTCCGTCCTTTGAAACAATGATAGAAAGTTCTGAAAAAAGTTTGATTTATAAACGGTTTAGTTTTAGAGAATTTAGACAACAAGTTCAAGATGATGTCAAGAGATATGGTCGTAAAATAGGCCTTTCAAGGTTTATTCTATGAACCCATAACTTTTTTTTTACATTATTAGTTTCATCTATGTTGGAAAAAAATAAAGATATTGTTTTTAATAGAAACATGATAATTACTTTATAGAATAAAAATGACAGTATATAAACATATCTTATAAACAAACTCTTAATAGTGGTTTTCTTTATTTACGATGCTTCATGTATCTTTTGTTGATAGCTTTCAAAGTTATCATATACTTTTAAAAGTTTTCACTAGGTCATTGACTTTTTTATTTTGCAAGTAATATTTATATCATATGTTGGACATGATTAAGGGTGTCCACGCTTCTTTAAAGCTGTTATGGCCTTTCATTAGGGTTACACTATAAATCGCAGTCAATCCAATCCAAATCCAACCTTATATTAGCATGTTTGGTAGGAATTTTCAATCCATTTAAACAAAAAAAAATGACAATTTTATCAACCCGTCTAATTAAATAAGATGTGTTATGATCAAATGACGTAACACCCGGATTTTTAAAACAAGATACATCCAAAAATTTCATTTATTATTTATAAAACACACTGGTGTATGCTTACATTAACGATCCAACACAAATAGTTATCAACAATCCAACACAAATAGTTATCAATAGTACCAGTTCAAAGAATATAAAATATAGTGATCATCACTCTTTCTCTTCTACAATATATGCTTACTTCTAAAATAAAGTTACCTCCAAAACACATATCAACAAAAAGACAAGCTACAAAGAGCTTAGTGAGTAATCATTAACAATAGTACACATAATAATTATGACATAAAAATAAGTATTATAAAGACACATATTTTGTTAAAATTAAGGACTATTTGGTATCGTATTAAGACTGTTGGGTATATTTAAGACACATATAATTACGGTGAACATGTCCATGTTCGGTAAATGGACACATATAATTAATGATGTAAGTGATGATTAGCTAGTATTTAGTCTCAACAACAATCAATTATGGTATTTATTTGCCACATAAATTGTTTTTCATGTTGTTATTGTTTAACTTAGTCACAAGAACTTTAGAATAAACATCATTTTAAATCAATTGTAGTCTCATAATTCTTGTATATTATGGCTATTGTTAACCATTTAGCCACACGCTAAAAATTGATGTAAAGTAACCATTGTATATTTTAGATACATTAAAAACCTATAAAATATGACCAAATTTATATTAAAGCCACAATAATTCTATTTTTATTGTTACTTTTTCTATATTGTAGATACATCAAAACAATATATAAATGAAAGTAACCAAAACCGACAATATGAAACAATATCAAAATTCAGAATTCGATATTATTAATAATTGAAATCTAAATCCAACATTAAATTCGTAATTAAAATACCAAAAAAATGAAAATTGTACTAATTGCAAGTATTAAAATATGATAAATAAAGCAAAAACATCATAAACCAAAAACTAGACATAACTAGGCATTCATCTTGTTGGTATTGCTCCTTGTCTTTATGAGAAGGCTATTGCTCGATATAAAAGTTTCCTTGCACTTCTTTGAGTTTTGAAGTGAATTGTCTTGAGGTGATTTTATATTTGATACCTATACCAACAACATTGAAACAAAATTGAATAAATAAAAAACATAATAGAGTAGTTTACGAAGGAAAAAAAACCATTAATTTATGATTCTTAATCATAGTAGAAACATGGGAGTTGAAAACTTACTATGTTTCGACAATTCGATTGGTGTTTACTTCAGTTTGATCCACTCCAACAATCCTCAACATACCAAAATCAGAAATATTAGGGTTCATATCAAAATCCAGCAAAATTTTGCTAACCTTCAGATCATGATGAATGATTCTTAATCTTGAATCTTCAGGTAAACTAGAAAAGTTTCCCCATGCTCCGCATGGGTTGGAGTATTCAAGTTTTCGGACTTCATTGTAGTTTTTTTGGGGAGTGAAAGTGGAAGGTCAAATAATTGACGAAAACTATCATATATATAACATGGTGAAAATAGATATTAGAATTACATAGGTTGTTTATTTACATACTATTCTGGTTTTTGTAGCCTTTTCTGGAACTACAAGGAGATCAAAAAATTCACGAATCATTTGCATACTTCCCATCATTGAATAAGAAAAAACCTGGCAGATATTCCAGCCCAGCAGTTGAAAATTCAATCTCCTGTGGTTGAAAGTTGTGGAGTACAAACTCCATAGAAACTATAGACATGAAATTTTTTGCATCTTCCATCTATAAATAAGAATAAGTAATGAACTAACTCACCATCAACTGTATTTCATCCTTCAAAGCTATTTGAGTTGCTTCTTTTGCCTGTTAATCACAAAGTTTTAACTTTAAATTTTAGATATTTTATTGTTGTTATGTATCTATATCAAAAGAACAAACACGTTTTAAGCACTACTGTTGACTATACATGACAATTTGATCAAACGGAAACATTTAAATGAAAAAATCATAAAATAAAACTAAGTCCAAGTTGACTGATGCTTCTATCAACCAAATTAATACAAAAAATTACATAAACCACCTCTCAACCATTTATCAATATGCAATATCTATAACATAAATGGCAAAAAATAAATAACATGGATTCAACTATAGTATAGCACCATAAAGGAAAACAATATTTATAAAAAAATCGATTACATGAAGATATATTAGCCCAGATTGTACCTTTCAATAGTCAACTTCAAAGTAACCTGATTGATGCTTGCCTGTTAATTAAGTTCGTTAGTCAGGTCCATACCAGTGTCACTTCTTAACTTCAAACGAAGTTGATCTGCCACCTTCAAACCAATACCAACCTGAAACATAAATACCAAAGAAATAAACACAAATTTATTATCAAACCTTTTTTTAGAATAAATGTGTAGATACTAAATAATGACTTCTTTTACTTAAAAATAACAAGATTTTTCCAATTTTCAATTTTGACTCTATATGTCCATACTCAACAATTAAACAAAACGACATATAGGTGAACAAATTCTTCCAAAAGACTGCAGCAACTCAATTCATTTTCAAAAGAAAATAACCACACAGGGGATCAATCTAAAACAAAATCAAAAGTTCCACCATGTAAGTACATCAATCTGATCACCCTCCTATACCACATGAAGGCAAGTGATAGAACATAAATTTTGATTAAGTAAATAGGACTGAAACCATAAACCATAATTGTAAGTTTGATTCAACTTTACCACGTAGAAACACTGCTAACCAGATTTTTCATTGAGGATTTTTTTCGAGCAGCTGGTGTTCAAATAAAAAAAAGCACAAAGAACATAAAGTTGTATTCCACAATTGAATTCCTATTCGAATAACAAAGGTCAAATCCAAATAAACAGTAAATTACCAAAACAAATGGTGGAAGTAAGAATGAAAAACTCACTTGTCTCTTAATCATGCCAAAACGAAAGGAATTTCATGGATAGGTATTACTCTGATTAGTCTAAGAAGTATTCTTGATGTTTCTTCTCCGTCTTGAAGCCCCTTCAATGGCTGAGTCGGAGTTTGTTGGCCACTTGTTTTCTTCTCCACGCTTATAGCTAAATAAAATGACGAAATTTCAATTGAAATTGAGGAGAAATCAGAAGCAGAGAGAAAGGCACCTGATTTGATTTCAGAGAATGGAAGTGAAAGCGTATACACGAAGGTGGTCGTTGTTAACAGGGAAGACAAAGAGGGAATGGCGGTGGGGGTTCTATGTCTGTCGCCTTCGATTGTTTCCTTTTTTCTCCGTATATCATACCGCCGCCTCGGATTGCTTCGATTTCAAAATCCAGACCCAAGTAACCCAGGGTTTTTTTCCAATTGAAAGGCACACAGACGGAAATAAAGTTCCCTAAAAACCCCTAGGATGCGTCTTTTAGGGCAATAAAAAACGGAGGGTGAGGGGAGATCGAGATAGGCACGAAGACGAAATTGAGATAGGCGGAAGGATTTTTTTTTTTTTGGGGGGGGGGGGGGGGGAATCGGTAGGAATGAATGTTTTTGTTTAAAATTTTTGAAAGATATAAAATTTAAAATATGAAGATGAAATCGAGAGGGGCGGCAATAGGTTTTTTTTTAAGGAAATGAATATTTTATTTTAAAAAGTTCAAAAAAAATTAAAAGATTTCACATTTAGAAAAATAAAATAAAACATATCCTAATAAAATATTTTGGGTCAAAAGTTAAGAAAAAGAAATAAAGTTTAATACTCCCTCCGTCCCAAAAGGAAACATGGACTATTATTTTGAGACGGAAAGAGTAGTTAATAATTTTCATTACCTTTTATATAAAAAAAATCGAAGTTCTAATGAATTACTTTTAAATTTTTAAATATTTTAAAATTTGATTAATGATAGTAAACTAGGAATAACTCTAAAGCAAATACTTAAGTGGGCGATGCAGGGGTGAGGTGGTGTAGGGGTATCTGTGTTGACGTAAAGTGGGTGGGTAGGGTCGGATATGGGTATGGGTATGGGATGGTAGGGGTTGGTGGATGAGTATATACATGTGAGTTTCATGGTATGGGTCGGATATGTGTAAAGTAGGTGTATGTGTGGGTGGGTGGTGTAGGTTATATAAGGTGAGGGTGGCGTGTGGGTGTGAATATAGGGCGAGGTGGGTGGTATTGGTGCAGGTGGGGGTAAAGTTAGGTGAATTAGTGGGTGTGTGTGAGGTGGGGATGTAGGAATGTGCCTTAAGCCTAAACCTATAAGACATGAGACCTAATCCATAATCCATAAGCCCTAAGTCATAAGTCATAAGCCATAAGCCATAAGCCAAACATCATACACCACAAGCTATAAGTTATAAGTCTTAAGCCTTAAGTCATAAGTCTCGAGACATAAACCATAAGCCATAAGCCATAAGCCATAAACATTAAGTTATAAGTCATATATAAGCCACAATCCTTAATCTGTAAGACACAAGCCATAAGTTATAATCCTTAAGCCCTAAAACATAAGTTGTACGCCTTAATCCTAAAATCTCTAACACCCACCTAACCCACCATAAGGC